GTCCAAGGCCAGGTTGGATGGGGCTTGGAGCAATCTGAGATAGTGGAAGGTGTCCTGGCCCATGGCAGGGGGTGGTATGAGATGATCTTTAAGCTCCTTTTCAAACCAAACCATTCTATGATTCCGTGACTGTATGTGTGTGTATCCAGCTCTCTGGAATGCAGCATCATGCACACAAAGACACGTACCACGGCCACATCCAACAAGCTGGGACAGAACCAGCCCAAGGGTGTGAGCCCACCTGTGTCAGCCATCTGGACCTGGAAGAAGAAACCCCCCGTGCTCAGCAGCCCATGGGATCTGGCTGTTGTAGGGCAGAATGGGAACAGGAGCCCAGGGATGTTGCAGCAGAAGTCATGGGTGGACCGAGGCAGTACCAGCTCAGCTGGGAGCAGGCTGGGCTGGGCCGTGGTCTTATGCCACCTGGGACCTGCCTCCTTACAGCAGCAATGCTGGGAGGATGCCATATCATAGCTTTGTAGAAAAAATCCTTTAGTGTTTGCTTTCTGCAGCAGCTACCACTACAGCATCTGGGCAGGATCCTTCCTGCAGGTGCAAGATGGCTCACTTCTCCTGGCCAGCTCTGTCCTAAAGGAGCACTAGGAATGAGCGACCATCCAGGTAGAATCATGTGGATTCTCCCATCCCTCTCCTGAGCGAAATGTGCAGCAGTGAGGGCTGAGCCAAGGAAGATCCTGCCCAGGTAGGCTCCCACAAGGAGGGAAGAGACCCAGCTGCTCAGCACCACAGCTCTAGAGCACGAGAAACATCACTGTGCTCTGTGCAGGCCCCAGAAGTCCAGAGCCAAGGGAAAACCAGGCTCAGGGTCCAGGCCTAGGCAGATGAGGGCTCCTCTTCAGTGCAGCTCTTCCCTTTATCTGACAAATCCTTGCTTGTCTTCTGTAGGTCAAAGCTCTGGAAAGGAACAGGACAAGGAACTGCTGAGAAATGACAGAGACTGCAACAACTGTATCTGCTGTGGCTCTTTTAGACTCCTCCTAGGGCAGTGACAGCTCTTGTGATGGTTCCCACTTCCCCCCCTCCCAGCCCAGATGTGAGCAGCACACAAAACCCCCAGGATCACTAGCAGAGGGCAAAGCCTCCCGTGCTGCAGTTTCCCCCCTTTGCCACAGGGGAAAAAGGGCAGAACTGCTCATCTGACAGGACTCAGGGCTGAGCAGGGACAGAGCCCTCCCTACCTCCAGCTCCCGCAGGACCTCATCCATGAAGTCTCCCGAGTGCTGTTTGTAAGCCACAGCCAGTCTGATGGCGTCGTTGAAGAGCTGGTAGGAAGGACAAGGCCCGTCACTCAAAGGATGGGGCACGTGGGCATTGGGTTTCTGAAGCAGATGGACACTGTTCCACATCCCAAGGGGAAAAAACCCCTCTGCAGCTCTCCACAGCCACCTGGAGCTACAGTGATGGACTGTTTCCTGCTCTCTGGGCCCACAGCAGCCCCCGTGTCCCTGGGCTGCCAAGGGGCCTCATGGACACCAAGTCCAGCAAACGCCCATCTCACCTTCACCACGTTGGTGCCATCGGCAGCAGACACGAAGTAAAAGGGCAAACTGAACTTCCGGGCAAAATTGAAGCTTTTTTGGGTCACCTTCATATCCGCTGAGGTAGACAAAGAAGACATGGTCAGTAAGACACGGCAGGAGGTCCAGAAAGGTGGGTGTCTTCTGTGTGACACGTCAGCCCCTGCTGACCCAGACAAGCCACAGCGCAGTGCCAACAATCAGGAATGGCTGGCTGGCATTCCCCGTGGGAGGAAACCTCCCAGCCCCCTGCAGAGCCAGGCGAACAGTTTTGTCAGCCGGTACATTGAGACACTGTGCACGCTGAAGGAGCAGCACCAAGGCCATCCCGGACTGATCCAGGGAAGCCACAGGACAGCTTTTGCCTCCTTTTGCTGCCATTTTTGACCAGGTGCTACTCAAATCACTTTTGGGTTCTTGATGAATAGAAGAGGCAATGTGATAATGGCAGAACTGGAAGAACATTTGAATAAAACTGAAATGGATCAACTTTGCACTTTTAATTGCTGGTGACACAGGACAAGTACCTGTAAGACAGCAGCTGAGGTCAGCACAGGACCCAGCCCTGGGGGACTGAGGAAATCCAACAGACAGGGGACATTCGTTCTCAGTCAAGACAGGAGCAAATCCCACCCCGGCCCTGGCAAGTTGGGAGGAGAAGGTACACTCACCATCAATCTTGTTGGCCACTACAATGCATGGAATCTCTGGGCGGAATTCCCTCAGCTCCTTGTACCAGCTGTTCAGGTTCTTGTAGGTGACCTTCCGCTGTACATCAAACACCTTCCAAGAGAGAACCACCTATCCTGGCGCCAGCCTAACACAGCTCTGACTGACCCAGGACAGCTCAGACCAGTCTGTGGAGCCAACCCACGACAGCTCTGACCAATACAAGGACAAAATCCATAATGTTCCCAGGAAGACAAGAGAAAGGGAACTGGGTGTTATTAGAAAGGGTGAAAGAGAAAGGGACACTATCCCCAAGCCCAGCCAGCAGGAAACAGCCCCTTGATGTCTTTTACACTGTCATGGTGTCCTGTGCAAGTCCCGGCCACCCACACAGGGAGCTGGCACTGGGAACAGTTTGTGCCAAGCAGGATCAGATGTGGCCTCTTCTGTTCTGACAACTAAACCACCAGTGAAAATCACTGGTGCTCCCAGGTGATGAGGAACAGTGGAAAGTGAGAGTGACAGGACAAACCAGGAGATCTGAGCAGGAGAGGAGCCAATGAAACTGGGAACAGGGGCAAACATGAGGGCATTGAGAAGACAGCAGAGCCAGGGGATAGAGGAAAGTGTTACCAGGAGAGACAGACCAGAGCTAAACAGGTCCATCTACAGGGGTTTATCTGGTGAGAGAAGAAAGAACAATCTAGGAAAGTTTTTTAAACCACTGGAAGAGACAAGGAACGCATGGCAGTGTAACCATAAAAGTAACACAAAAGCCAAGTGTCACTGAGACCATTCCGAGCCCATATCCCAGGGGTCCCAGCTGAGACCCCCTCACCATGATGCAGGCATGGGCCTGGTGGTAGTAGGAGGCGTGCATGCTCCGGAACCGTTCCTGGCCCGCCGTGTCCCAGAAGTCTGTAATGCAAAACCAGCTCAGAATGACACATCTCACTGAGCTCTGTTCTTCTCACAATTTACACCCAGGAGGCAAAGCCCAGCCCACCTGCTCAGGGACACAAGAGTTTCACCTCACCAATCTGAAACACTCCAGGGTTAAGAAATTGTGCCAAACTAGGACCTTTCCTTACTGGGCTCAGCTGTGGGCTGTGCTGGCACTAGCCATCAACAAAGGAGAAGCCACCAGTGACATGAGTTGTACAGGACAGCAGGACCAAGACAGGCAGAAGTGCAAAGAGCAGTAGCAATGTCTGGCACTCTGTCACTAGGGATGAGAATGGGAAACTACCTAAAACTCCAGGAACTGCTGGGTCCTGCTAATTTCTAACCCAGTGAGGGTCAGCTAGGGCCCTGCCGTGGGAAATGCTCCAGTTTCTCTTGCAGACATCTGACTCTGCTCTCCCAGGGGCAGGAGTCACTTTGAAGTGCTGAAGGTAAATCAGCCAGAGGCAAAGAGGTCCCAGTTCATGAAGTTCTGTGTACATCAGATATCATGGGGCAAGCCTGGACACCACCATGCTTTTTGCTGTTGGTGCAGCTCAGGTGGAGATTCCCCAACTCTCTGGTTTGCAGGCTCACATCTGAGTCTAGCTTGCTGTATAAATTGGTACAGCTTCAGTTAAGCACCTCAATGAGGTCACACCTCTTGTCAGCTGGACCCAAGTGTGGCACTGTACTCAAAGCCAAATGAGCCAGTTTCCCTAGGGATTCCTTTGCACTGATACTGTGTCTGACTGGACTCTGTTTCAGACATGCTGGACAGTGACTTTCTTAAACTTCCCAAACACAGACATGTCCCAACCAGGCCACATTTGCATTCACTGTCTGTGTCACAACAAAGACGTTGAACAGTGTCAACCCCAACGAGCCTTGACCAGTGACTCCATGTGGTCATCCAGACCATTCTTTATCCTCTGACTGTCCACCCATCAATCCAACCCCCGTCTCTCCAGTTCAGAGCCCAGGACGTCGTGGTGACAGTGCCCTACACTTTACCAAGCCCCGGGGGATGACGGCAGTCACTTTGTCCCATCCACCAATGCCGCAGCCCCTTCACAGAAGGGCACCAGATTTGTCACGATGTTGTTGTCTATCAAAACACGTAACCAAGACCCAGACCGAGGGGATCTCCACTTCCCAGCTGTTCCCTCTGTCACAGCACCGCCTGTCGCCGCGAACACCCCAAGCCCCCCGGGCTGGCTCCACTCACCCACGCGGACCTCCTGCCCGCCCACCCGGGCGCGGTGCTGGTACAGCGTCAGGGCGAACGTGGAGACCTGCTGGGGGCGGCTGCGGGGCGTTAAGGAGCCGACGGAGAAGCGCAAACCCCGCTCCGCCGCGACCACCGGGCCCGGCCGGCACCGTGTCCCGCCGTGCCCGCACCGCTCCCCCGCTCCCCCGCTCCCAAGGATACAAGCCATCGAGCAGGAACCGCTCCAGCAGCCTGCGGAGAGAGCCCGTGCTGCCGTGAGCCCGCGGAACCCTCCCGAACCCGCGGGGTGCTCCGCCCGAACCCGCGGGACCCCTGCGCCCCACGCACTTGGACTTCCCCACGGCGCTGTCGCCCAGGCAGATAATCTTCACCGTCTCCTCAGCGCCGGCTGCGGCCTCATCCCGGGCCCCATCCGGGGCTTCCTCCCGGGCCCGGGCCCGGCCCTGCTCCTCCGCCGCCGTCGCCATGGCAGCGACTGCGCGTGCCCGCTGCCGCGCGACGCGTGCCGGCCCCGTCCCGGCCCCGCCCCGGCCCCGCCCCGGCCCCGCCCCCGTCCGGCCCCGCTCCGTTTTGGCCCCGCCCCGCCCCCGGCCCCGCCCTGTTCCGGGCCCGGCCCGGCCGTCCCTGCCCCGGCCATGGCGGCCCCGCGGCGCCTGCAGCTGACACTGGCGCTGCTCAAGCCGGACGCGGTGGCCCATCCGCTCGTGAGCGAGGTGAGAGCCGGGCAGGACCGGACCGGGAAGGACCGGGCTGGGCAGGGCACCGCAGAGCGGGCCTCGCCACGTGCCGCCCCTCCCAGCGCCGCCTCTTCCCGCAGGCCGTGCACGCCGCCATCCTCCGTCACCAGTTCCTCATTGTCCGCGCCAAGGAGCTGCGGTGCGGCCCGGAGCAGAGCCGCCGCTTCTACCGGGAGCACGCCGGTACGAGCGGGGCTCAGGGCCTGCCGGAGCGGGATGCTGACTCGGGCCGGTGCCCCTGGGCCGGTGCCGACTCGCTCCGTGTCTCTCCGCAGGGCGTTTCTTCTACCAGCGGCTGGTGGAGTTCATGGCCAGGTACCGGGCGCGGGTGAGCCGTGTGTGCAGGGGCTCGCTGGAGCGTGCGGAGCCGGGCGGAGTGTGGGGATCACAGCACGCTGTGACAGCAGTGGTACCTGATGGGTGCCACCTGCGAGGGTGGTGGAGGGCATCATTTGGAGTGGGTCACCAGGGCCAAGGCCGTGCCTCGGTGCCGGGGTAGGACCGTGCCCCTTCCCATGGCCAGGGTCTGGCGCGACAGCCCACGGCAGCTGTACTGTGCGGGTTTGTAAGGACGAGTAACCTGTTTGTAACGAGCTCTTCATAATTTCTCCTGCTGTTTCTGGGCCCTTGCCGCAGTGGCCCCATGTGGGCCTACATCCTGGCCCACGAGAATGCTGTCCCTCTCTGGAGATCCCTGATGGGACCCACTAAAGTGTTCCGAGCCCGACACAGCGACCCAGACTCCATCCGAGGTGCCTATGGCCTCACTGACACCAGGAACACGACCCATGGCTCAGGTAGGTCTGCAGTTCTTGGGTGGTTCTTGGGGAGGCCGGGATGATGGTGCTTTGTGTGCCTTTGCTTTATTTCTGAGGCTCCAACTGAATGATTTGTTCCCTTCTGCAGACCCCACACACACCTCGCCAGGTGCCTTTGAAGTCCAGCATGTGTTTATGGTGGCAGACTGGCATCTCTCATTGCCTTTCCCTGTCTTTTGACAGATTCACCTGCCTCAGCCAGCAGAGAAATTGCCTTTTTCTTCCCCGAGTTTGATGAGCGGCGCTGGTACGAGCAGGACGAGCCCCGGCTCCGCCACGGGCAGCTGTTCTACAGCCCCGAGGAGCGTGTGCACCGTGTGCTCAGGGCACAGGAGGCAGACGTGACCTGAGTTACCCCTGGTAGGGTTGGGTTTGCTGACCTGGCAGCACCTGTGGGCATTCTCTTGGGGCACCAGACACAGAGCTGTGCCGTGTTTCAGTGACTGTGGGAAAGGAAAGCCTCATGCATGTTGTGCTGCCTGGGATGAGGTTGTGCCACCTGGGATCAGGTTATTGGGGTAGCAGGTGGATGCTGGGGCGCTGTAGGAAGAATTCCCCCAGCAGTGCTCATGCTGACAGTCTGGCCATGCAGCTCACTGGGCCCCTGAGCTTGTTTGGGTGTGAACAGGACAGGTGAGTTGGTCAAGGGCCAGCTGAAGGATGGGTTGGTTGTGCCAGATGGGATCGGCCTGACTTTGCTGATGGGAAGCTTTGGGTTCTCCCTGCTGGCTGTTCCCACAGTGCTTGGGGAGAAAAGAAGGAAAAAGAGCAGGAAGAAAGGTATCAGCAGGGCAAGATGAACTGTCCTGTCCATACTCACCTTCAGCTGGGCTGGGAAATGAGCATCTTTGCCAATAGCTCTTCATGTGAGACCACTTGAAGCCCTCAGTGACCATGGCCTGACAGCACCAGGACAATTCCATGTCCTTGGGAAATGGGATGGACAAGGCCACTGAATTACCCAGATATGTGATGGAATGATGCAGGAGGACTTAGTTGGGAGGTACAGAGCCAAGTGGCAGGCTGATACGTGTTTCTCTCTGTGATGCCGTGTGAGGTGTGTTCCTGGATGGGGTTTCAGTCTGTTTATGCTGTCTCCCTACAGGCTCCTTACAGTACTGCCATTTTAGTTACAGTGCCTTGTACTGAGGGAATTTCCTTTGGGCAGTCCCAAATGCTCAGGCTGGGGAAGGTGTGCTGTGCTTGGGGCAGGAAAACTGAGCTGAGATTCACCAGTGCCCTGGCACCTCACATAGCCAAGGCAGGGACTCTCCAGGTGCTCCCAGAACTCTGTGAGCTGTTGGGTAGTGACTGACAATGCTCTGTGGTGGAAAGCACTGCCCACAGCTGCCGTGGTTAAACTCATCTGCGTTTGTGGTGCCTCCTCCTTTCTGGGATCAAATGGTCGTTGTTCTGTTCCAGGTACAGATCCAGGGATTTGCGGGACATCACTGCTGTCCCTGTCCTCAGCAGTGTTGAGTGGATCTGCTCAGGATCCTGTGTGTCTTCACACATGTCTGAGAGCTGCTGTCCCCCGTGCTGTTGATATTTTATTGATGCTTTATCAGTTGTTTCATTGATTCTTGGAGGATTTGCTTAGAGCTGTGTGTTTTTCTTGTAACTATTAAACTTTACTATTTTTCACTTTTCTTCTTTTATGCTGCACTTTTCTTTTTGGATATTCCGTGGGAATTTCATTAACTGATTATGCCTGGCTCACGCTTGCCATTTTTGAAGCTTTGGTGTTTTCTCCTATTCACTTGCAATGGTTATATATGTCCCTTTGAACATTGCCAGTGCAGAGAACTCTGACAGTAGGATTGTCACAGAGTGACATCACCTCACAGCCACTGTGATTCAGGTTCCTGCAGAGTGTCACCTTGACATGGTCCCGAGGCTGTACCTGAGCACAGGTGCTCAGACTGGGCAGCCCACTGCCCCAGAGGATTTATTGTGCGAATCTAAAGCTGTCCAGCAAACTTTATCAGAGACCTGAGATTGAAACACTTGGTGTTTGATGCAGAAGACAGTGTCAGAACTGATTTTTGGTCTCCAGGGAAGTCTTACGGAATGTCACAGGTAACTCTGAGGGCTCTTATCAAAGTGGGTTTGTTTTGGGTTTTTTATTCTACTTCTCTTCCTTGTAAATACCCAGTAAGTGATTTTTTGCTTTTCCAACGGTGCTTGCCCCCATCCCTGGCAGTTTCCTTGGCTGAGCTGGATGGGCCTGGAGCAGCCTGGTGTAGTGGGTGACATCTCTGTTCATGGCAGGGGCATGGAGCTGGATGAGCTTTATGGTCCCTCCCAGCCCAAGCCATTCCTTACTGATGTGTGGGTGTTATAGCAAATAAATCAGTCTCCCAGTTTGTCTCAAACCAAGACAATGTGGCACCTCAGTAAGGTGTGAAGGGCAGTTTGAGATCCCTGTTTTTTCCTAGAAGCTGCAGGTCGTGCCCCACCTGTGGGGTCTGTGCACAGGGCTGGTCACAGCTGGGTGTGCAGCAGGTTCCACCCCAGGTGCTGCTGCAAAAGCACTGCCTGGGGCCACAAGGTCCAGCCCAGGCACCTGCAGAGACAGCTCAGGTGTGGAGCTGGGCCAGGGTGTCTCACAGGGACATGTGAACTTTGGGCCTAAAGTTGATCTGCTCTTGGAAGAATTGATCAGGTTTGTGTCAGCACTGCAGGGAACAACCTGGCTTGGTCTGGGAAGAAGGGAAGGAAAGGCTTCGGAGGGAAATCAGTGCTGATCCCAGGCCTGGCCTCAGTCCCTGCCACCACAGGCAGAACCCTCTTAGCTTGAGGAATTTAATTTGATTTATTGCTGTAACACAAACGTTTAGTTACTGATTCAGATACTGCAGGAAACCCAAGAAAACTATTAAAGAAACACCTGGGGAAACAGCTTTCCTCTACCTTCCCAGGGTCAGTCCAGCATCTTTTCTCCCCTCTTTCCATGCAGCTTCTGTCCAGTCCCTCCCAGTCGCTGGGGGAGGTGACATAGCACAGGGGGCTGGAGCTGCTTTTTGTTTCTTCCTCTTTCCTTCTTGTTTACTCACTCAGGGCACACCCATAGGCTTCAGTTCCTCAGGTGTGTACCTGCTCTACCATGGTCCCTCCCTGGGCTGGTCCCTTCAGGGAGAAATGGGCCAATGGGAATTTCATTGAGTTTGCAGAGGAAAACGCCGTGTCCTGCATCTGGGCAGGGATGTTTCCATTTGCCAAGGCTCACGTGAGAGACCAGAGAAGCAGCTGTCTGTCCCGACAGGCCGTGAGCCACCCCTGAGTCAGCAGTGCACCTCCATGGTCTGAGAGCATCCTCAGGTGTGGGAGCCAGAGCAGTTGCCCACAGGTGAGGGAGACCCCATCCCCTCCCTGGGGCACAGGTAAGGCCACATCGGAGCACTGGCACCAGTTCCAGGCTCCCCAGTGCAAGATAGCCTGATCAGAGCTGGAGTCCAGCATGGACCAAGTAGGAAATCTGAGAACCTGACAGGTAGGGAGAGGCTGAGGGCTGGGACTGTGCAGACTTGGGAGCTCAGTGGGTTTTATCGATGGGCAGAAATCCCAGGTGAGAGCAGTGAAGGGAGCCTTAGGTGTCCCAGGAATGAGCACAAGGCAATGGAAACAACCTGAAATACTATAAATTTCACTGAGACATAAAAAACCCTCTTTTATTATTTTTATACTACAAGGGTGATAAAATAAGGTCAGGAGCCCTTTTGCCAAGGCAGGGCTTTGGGCTCAACATGCTCCAGAGCTTCTTTCTGTGCTCCTGGGCCACAGGTGTGGACCCTGGGGTGTTGCTGCATAGGGGCATCCCCTGCCACTGGGCACATGCCACACTGCCCACGTGGGCACCTGGGCATCAGGTGAGGCCTGTCCTTCCTCCAGCATGGCCACAATTTGTACCAGCCCCACATGGGGGACTCTGTTGGTGTCCAGTATTTCCCTCTCTGCAGCTGATCTGCCCTTTTCCCAACAGCCTCTGTCCTGCTTTTCCCAGGTATGGGGATGAGGAAAAATGGATACAATGGAAATAAAGTCAAATTTACATCTTCAGTGCTGACTGCACTTGTCTCTGCTAAAGCTGCATCTCACTGTACAGAGCTAGAGACAAGGGTTGTTGTAGGTGGCCAAAGATTTTTTTTGATTTGATCTTGTATCAGGCTGTGGGTTTTCACACGGAAAAGACAAGGAGCCTGGGAAAACAGCCACAGAATCAAATCCCAGGCAAACAGAAGTAATGGTGTTCAGGGACGGATGTGCCACAGAAATCCAATCCATCTCCACACTGAAAGTGCTGAGGAATAAGCAGTCATTTCTGATTTGGGGCTCACGATCCTGTAGTCCACAGTTTTCCCACAGGGCTGCTGTACAAAGCCGGAGGAACAAGGAGTGAGAGAAATACCAAACTGCAGAAAAAAATCCCCATAGATTGGGACTGTTTTCTCCCTAGCACAGACAATAAACACTCTCCCACCTCATGCCCCAGACAGGCCAAGCATGGGCTGGATCTGGACACTGACTAAATGTAACTTTGAGCTTTCAGACCAGGAAAACCCCATGACAGACCATACTCCTGTCTACATAGACAAACCATCCACACTGTGTCCAGACAGCTGCACCTGTGTGATACACTGTGCAAAGCCCTGGCAAACTCCAGGAAGAACCAGTTTTCATCTCTCCATCAAATCCTGATCCCAATTATCAACATATCCAGGGCTTGATTGGCCCCTCCATTCACACACGACATTGAGTATTTTTGTTAGCCAGATTGCCTCATTAATGCTCCCCTGCCTTCCAGATAAAATGTTACAGATAAATACAACATGGTTTCTGGATCTCCCACAGAACCCAGGGAAAGTTAAAATCCATCAGTGCAAAGCTGCTGCTGCTGGAGCTGAACATTTAAATTTAATGTGGGGCTGTGTTGATCCTTTCCAGAGGACATATATATGTTCTATGAAAGCTCTTTAGAAATCCGCCCTTCCCAGAGTGCGAGGAGAGTTCTGGAAGCAGTGGGAGGGATGAGTTATGCTAACAGCAGTGTTGGAGTGTCTGTGCAATCCTGGAGCAGTTCTGCATGAAGCAGCAGCTGTGGTTCAGTATTTTCCAGTCTGATCCCTGGGTACTGGCTCCCTGCACAGGGAGAACAGGCAGGAGAAGTTTAAGCATTGGACAGAAGGAGAACAACAGAAAAACTACAGATGTGAGATTGTGGCAGCATCATCTATCACAAAACTAAGCTGAAGCAGCATTCAGAAAATTGTCTTTGTTATTTTGCAACACAAAGTTTGGAGGTCAAATAAAGCAACCAAAAATCTGTGGCGGAGAAGAATAAGCCTGAGGCAAGGCCCAGGTCTCTGGTTTCAGCTTGGTCTGTACTTACAGATCAGGGATGGGAAAGGGGCAGCAAGGAGAGAAAAATGAGATAAATTGTGTTAAATTGGTTAGTAATCAATTGTAAATTGGTTAGTAAAAAGTTAGTAACTTTGGAAGTTATGAATCAGAGGTGTCTCAGCAAAGGACCAAGAGGCACCAGAATGACACAAGTTACGTATGAGGTTTGCAATGGTGCAATAGCTGCTCCTGCCTACTGTGGGATATAGCTAGCGTGGCTTGGGCACAGCAAGAATTTGGGCAGGACGTACAACCAGGATTGCAAATAGTCCTAGAATCTCAACAGTGTATTTTTTGTTGCAAAAATAGATGTTTTCAAAATGTTTCCTGTCACCCAAATATTTCCCAGAGCCTGTCAAAGCACTGGCCAATTACTTCCTGTTTTCTCTTTTTATTTTACTTCAACGGTTTCACGTGTGCATCCTGTCCACAGATATTTCAAAGGTGGTATGTCTGTGCAGGCTTGGGCCTTCTCACTCCAAGTGGATGCTGGATGATTCCAGCAGCTGTGAATAAAGTGGCTGCCTTTAACTTTTCCCAGCCCAGAACTTTTCTCAGCCCACTGTGGGCCTTGTTTACACGTTCACAAACGTGCCAGATGAGCAAATGAAGTGCTCTGGGCTTTTGTAATTGGCACTGGAGCTCCTGTAGCCTGTTCCTCACAGATCGGAGTCTGTGGGGAATGGGACCAAGTGGGCAAACTGGGAACACAGGAACTTCTCTCTCCAGCTTCAGCCTCCTGGTGGAAGTGCACTAATTGGCCTCAGGGGCAGAGCTGGTGCCCACAGCTGAACTGGAGACCTCAGGGCTGGCTCTTGCAGCTGGGGACAGAGCTGAGGCAAGAAGGAGAGAGGCAGCAGGTGCCACAACTGCCCAGGAAGGACCATGAGCAACTGGGAGGCAAAGGTGCTTCCCAGTGGTGACAGGAGAGACTTTCCTTGGTGCTTTCTGAGCACAAGTTGGCCAGGAAGAGCCAGTGACCCCAGGGCTCAGCACAAGTGGCTGGGAGAACACTTTCCAGTTCCAGGCAGCTGCAGGTGTTGGACCTCAGGGTAACAGGTCACTCACTTCATGTGTTGTGAGTGCAGTGTTTGGGCTTCTGCAAACATCAGCACACTACAAATACATGTAAATCCAGTCAGCTTTGGCCAGTTAATGGTTAGACCATAACATTGCAACCCTTCTTTCCCAGTCTTTTTAAAAACAAGTACAAATTACACTGGAAAAAGCTTGAAACAGTATAGTTTTC